ATCAATCATTCACTGTGTTCATTCATGACTGTGTTTACTATGCTTCAGTTTATGAATGAACAGAAGCTTCTGTCTCCTGTTCATTCATCTGCAGTGCAGCTGAGGCTGAGGATATTTCCCCCAAGCTCCCCACCAGCAATGTAAAAAATTTTTTAAAAAAAATAAAAATAATAAATTGTAAAATATAATTTTAAAAAAGTGTAAAAAATCATTTAAATTTTTTTTAAAAATCATAAAAAAAATTAAGGGCTAATTCACAGGGGTTCTCTGATCCATACAGTGGGAATGAGAAGTTTTTGTGGCTAGTGCCACATGTTACTCTATGAGGATGCTGTGGTTGTATGAACATAGCCGCAGGTCCTAATATGATAAGTTTGCAAGTGTAGGTGAGTGGCTTTGAATACACACTGTCTGTGTTTGGAGCTGTGCACTTGCACCCACACGCCTGTCAAATTAGAACCTGCGGCTGTGTTCAAACAGCTGCTGTATCCTCATAGAGTAAAAAGGAGGGACTGCACATAGCAATAGCCCCAAAAAAACCCAAAACATCAATTCACACATACAGAACTCAGTACCTATGTGAATGAGCCCCAAGACCTCATTTACAAACAGAACTTTATTTATTAACTAAATACAATTTTATCTTTTAGATTTAGCAGGAATGTTTTATGTTATTTTTGTGTCCACTAATAATGATTTTATTGCATTTTTAGTGAAAATAGAATTTTGATATTTTCGGGAGAGATCCTTTAAGGTAGGCTGTACGTGGCCCCGTGATTTCTGACAGCAGCCCTGGTGACCATTAATGGACACAGGGCAAGTCCCTGCCCCCAAAAAAGTGGCAGAGCAAACGTCATCCAAAGTATTGTGTGGAACCAAATGGCTCCATGTACAGTGGGGCAAAAAAGTATTTAGTCAGCCACCAATTGTGCAAGTTCTCCCACTTAAAAAGATGAGAGAGGCCTGTAATTGGTATCATAGGTAGACCTCAACTATGAGAGACAAAATGAGAAAAAAAATCCAGACAATCACAGTGGCTGATTTGGAAAGAATTTATTTGCAAATTATGGTGGAAAATAAGTATTTGGTCACCTACAAACAAGCAAGATTTCTGGCTCTCACAGACCTGTACCTTCTTCTTTAAGAGGCTCCTCTGTCCTGCACTCATTACCTGTATCAATGGCACCTGTTTGAACTTGTTATCAGTATAAAAGACACCTGTCCACAACCTCAAACAGTCACACTCCAAACTCCACTATGGTGTAGACCAAAGAGCTGTCGAAGGACAACAGAAATAAAATTGTAGACCTGCACCAGGCTGGGAAGAAACTGCATCTGCAATAGGCAAGCAGCTTGGTGTGAACAAATCAACTGTGGGAGCAATAATTACAAAATGGAAGACATACAAGACCACTGATAATCTCCCTCGATCTGGGGCTCCACGCAAGATCTCACCCCGTGGGGTCAAAATGATCACAAGAACGGTGAGCAAAAATCCCAGGACCACACGGGGGGACCTAGTGAATGACCTGCAGAGAGCTGGGACCAACGTAACAAAGGCTACCATCAGTAACACACTACGCTGCCAGGGACTCAGATCCTGCAGTGCCAGACGTGTCCCCCTGCTTAAGCCAGTACATGTCCGGGCCCGTCTGAAGTTTGCTAGAGTATTTTGATGATCCAGAAGAGGATTGGGAGAATGTCATATGGTCAGATGAAACCAAAATAGAACTGTTTGGTAGAAACACAACTCGTCGTGTTTGGAGGAGAGAGAATTCTGAGTTGCATCCAAAGAACACCATACCTACTGTGAAGCATGGGGGTGGTAACATCATGCTTTGGGGCTGTTTCTCCACAAAGGGACCAGGACGACTGATCCATGTACAGGACAGAATGAATGGGGCCATGTATCGTGAGATTTTGAGTGCAAACCTCCTTCCATCAGCAAGGGCATTGAAGATGAAACGTGGCTGGGTCTTCCAACATGACAATGATCCCAAACATACCGCCCGGGCAACGAAGGAGTGGCTTCGTAGGAAGCATTTCAAGGTCCTGGAGTGGCCTAGCCAGTCTCCAGATCTCAACCCCATAGAAAACCTTTGGAGGGAGTTGAAAGTCTGTGTTGCCCAGCGACAGCCCCAAAACATCACTGCTCTAGAGGAGATCTGCATGGAGGAATGGGCCAACATACCAGCAACAGTGTGTGCCAACCTTGTGAAGACTTACAGGAAACGTTTGACCTCTGTCATTGCCAACAATGGATATATAACAAAGTATTGAGATAAACTTTTGATATTGACCAAATACTTCTTTTCCACCATAATTTGCAAATAAATTGTTTCCAAATCAGCCAATGTGATTGCCTGGATTTTTTTTCTCATTTTGTCTCTCATAGTTGAGGTCTACCTATGATGCCAATTACAGGCCTCTCTCATCTTTTTAAGTGGGAGAACTTGCACAATTGGTGGCTGACTAAATACTTTTTTGCCCCACTGTACATATCGCCAATCACCCAGGTACCCCAACAGAAAAAACTTCCATCAGGGACCCACACATGCTGAGCAGCACCTTAACACCCACCAACCCATAGCAACAAGCAGATCCACAAAAAACAACACAAATGGTCTACCAAATACAACTAAATGTGCAAAGTTAGCAAATAACAACAGCATGGTAAGTACCATCAGGTCCATAAATATTAAGACATCGACACAATTCTAACATTTTTGGCTCTATACACCACCACAATGGATTTGAAATGAAACGAACAAGATGTGCCTTAACTGCAGACTGTCAGCTTTAATTTGAGGGTATTTACATCCAAATCAGGTGAACGGTGTAGGAATTACAACAGTTTGCATATGTGCCTTCCGCTTGTTAAGGGACCAAAAGTAATGGGACAATTGGCTTCTCAGCTGTTCCATGGCCAGGTGTGTGTTATTTCCTCATTATCCCAATTACAATGAGCAGATAAAAGGTCCAGAGTTAATTTCAAGTGTGCTATTTGCATTTGGAATCTGTTGTTGTCAATTCTCAAGATGAGATCCAAAGAGCTGTCACTATCAGTGAAGCAAGCCATCATTAGGCTGAAAAAACAAAACAAACCCATCAGAGAGATAGCAAAAACATTAGGCGTGGCCAAAACAACTGTTTGGAACATTCTTAAAAAGAAGTAACGCACCGGTGAGCTCAGCAAAACCAAAAGACCTGGAAGACCACGGAAAACAACTGTGGTGGATGACCGAAGAATTATTTCCCTGGTGAAGAAAACACCCTTCACAACAGTTGGCCAGATCAAGAACACTCTCCAGGAGGCAGGTGTATGTGTGTCAAAGTCAGCATTGCGTTCAATATACAAAATACATATGTGCTGACAGCGCGTGCCCTGCGCGCTTCCAGCACACATGCATGGTACTCACCGAAAGGTCCCGGTCTCCTCTTGCGATTGGGACCTTTCCCGGTCACATGAAACTAAGCCCCGCCCAGTCCCACCCACCTCCCGGCGCAGAAACTCCTCTTCATGCCGGGGCAATCTGGCGTGAAGGGGTTAACATGTGTTTTGGCTCATTTTGCGCCTCCATTTTTGTGTGTGTTCTGAAAACGCATGCAAAATGCATGTCATGTTTGTTTCAAAATACACTTTAAAGAAGTGCTAAAACACGTGCTAAGAAAAGTGCCAAAACATGCGTTACAAACCACACCAAAATGCATGTTAAAACAACCTGTGCCAAATGTGCGTTAAAGTGCCTAGGCTCACACCTACGCAGGTTGCATTTGAGCTGTTTCTGCATTGTGTTTTGCGTTGCATTTTTGCACTTGTGTTTTTTATGCGTTTTTGATGTGTTTTGCGTTTTAAATTTTTTTTTTATTGTTCTTGTTGCTAGGCAGATTTAAAAATGCAAAAACGCATAAAAAATGTGGCAAAATTGCAATACATGCATTCCTGCAGCATTTCCATTGAAGTATATAGAACCACAAATGCAACTTTTTGCATTCAAAAAAACCCCTGACCCTTTCCAAAAAACGCACCAAGTGAAAATGCACAGGTGTGAACATGTCCCACAGGAATTCATGTTAAATGGACTGTATTGCATTTCTGCAAAATGCAAAACGCTGCAGAAAACGCTTAGGTGTAAACCGAGGGTAAATGTGTGTTTAGAAAAGCGCCAAAATGCACATAAAAAAACCTACATCAAAATGCATGTTAAAAAAATACAGCATGTTAAAAAGCAGCAAAATGAATGTAAATAATGCTAAAAAGTGCAATAAAAAGGAGCCAAAATACACATTTAACCACCTCCCCGCCCGCCATATAGTAATATGACGGACGCAAGGTGGTTCTCTCGTTCTGGGAGGACGTCATATGACGTCCTCCCATTCTCACCACGCATGCGCGGCTCAGGGAACGCTCAACGCAGCGATCGGCGGTGCGCTGTGTCCCTCGGACACAGCGGGTCACTGATCACGGAAAAAGCCGAAGATGTGGGCTCGGTCATGTGATCAGCTGTGTCCAATCACAGCTGATCACATGTAAACAGGGAAATGCCGGTTATCTCTCGCTGACAGCTCGAGAGGAGAGACGGTAATCAGCTTTCTGCGGAGGGGGCGTGTACACTGATCATCAGGGCACTGATGATCAGTGTGCCCTGATGAGCAGTGTAGCCCCAGATGTCGGCTCGGTCATGTGATCAGCTGTGTCCAATCACAGCTGATCAAATGTAAACAGGGAAATGCCGGTTATCTCTCGCTGACAGCTCGAGAGGAGAGACGGTAATCAGCTTTCTGCGGAGGGGACGTGTACACAGATCATCAGAGCACTGATGATCAGTGTGCCCTGATGATCTGTGTAGCCCCAGCAGTGCCACCTGTCAGTGTCCATCAGTGCCTTGTGTCAGTGCTCATCAGTGCCTCGTGCCATTGCCCATCAGTGCCACATCAATGCCACATATCAGTGCCTACCAGTGCACATCAATGCCACATATCAGTGCCCATCTGAGCTGCCTTTCAGTGTCACCCATCAGTGCCAGTCAGTGCCACTTATCAACGCCAGTCAGTGCCACCTATCAGTGCTGCCAATCAGTGCCGCCTATCAGTGCTGCCTATCAGTGCCATATATCAGTGCTGCCTATCAGTGCCACCTATCAGTATCCATCAGTGCAGCCTATCAGTACCTCCTCATCAGTGCCCATCAGTGCCACCTATCAGTGTCCATCAGTGCAGTCTATCAGTGCCCATCACTGCAGCCTCATTAGTGCACATCAGTGAAGGAGAAAAATCACTTGTTTTCAAAATTTTATAACAAAAACTAAGAAACTTTTTTTTTTTTTTTCAAAATTTTCAGTGGTTTTTGGTTTCTTTAAGAAAAAAATAAAAAACCCAGAGGTGATTAAATACCACCAAAATAAAGCTCTATCTGTCACAAAAAAATTATAAAAATTTCATATGGGTGCAATGTTGTATGACCGCGCAATTGTCATTCAAAGTGCCACAGCGCTGAAAGCTGGAAATTGGCCTTGGCAGGAAGGGGGTATAAGTGCCCTGTAGGCTAGCGGTTAAAGAATGTGCCAAAATATGTTTTAAAAATACCAGTGGTCAGTGCTTATTATTTCATGTATTCATGGTCTTTTTAACTTTGGTTTCACTGTTTAAAATCAGGTGATCTGTAATCACACAATTATCTCAGGAGATCACATGCAGCCCTCCCCCTTCTACATAGATATCAGCTGTTCTTAGAGGAAAAATTCTTCTTTTCTCTTTCTGAGAACAAATGTTCTCCACTTCATAAACAGGGTGCCAGAGGAGAAGATTTTTCCCTGAGAGCTGCAGAGAACTGAAATGAGATAAATTGCTTAACAAATGTACACAAATAAGAGGCATGGGGAGTTTTTTTGAAGTTGTCATTTTTTGTAAAAAATTTGTGAAAAATGAAGAAATCATAAATTTTTTTCACAAACTTTTTTTAATTACAAACTCACCAATGCAGTACGCATGGTACAGATAGGCTGTGATTTGCCTTGTCTGTAGCATGTGATCACTGTGACCAATCAGTTAGTAACACAATTGTAAGCAATGAATGGCATGAAAGGAAGCCATTCATTGTTTACAACTGTCATGTGATTTTCTGTGCTTGGTACCAGCAGTGGGCCAGTGCACAGCTGGAGTGCAGCTCATGGGGAGCGTGTGAGGTGCGTTTCCATATATGAGGTGCGGGGAGGACGTCATATATGAGGTGTGATCCTGGGAGGACGTCATATATGAGGTGCGATCCTGAGGGGAGGACGTCATATATAAGGTGCGATCCTGGGAGGACGTCATATATGAGGTGCGATCCTGGGAGGACGTCATATATGAGGTGCGATCCTGGGAGGACGTCATATATGAGGTGCGATCCTGGGGGAGGACGTCATATATGATCCTGGTGCGATCCTGCGGAGGACGTCATATATGACGTCCTCTCAGAATAATAGGGATCCTGCCCAATAGGCCAGGCGGGAAAGTACTAAAGGCTAAGTCCCCTTTTTGAAAAAAATAATAAATGCACAACTATTTGTATAAAAATCTGCATTTAATGTTTTTTGCAAAAGGGCCTGTAAAACATTGCAACTGCAATCAGTTAGAGAGCTAGAGGAAGTGTCAGTGGACTACGAGCATAGTAATCACAGCATTATGTTCCAAACTTATAATTTATTCATTCACAGATCTCAGTAAATGAATGATGAAACCCGTGTCAATAAAAGTCAGTATATATATCGCTAGCACGCCATGGATATTAAAAATAGAACCCAAATATTTATTACAGTGATCGCATTTCAGTGGTAAAAATGCAACGTTTTGAGGCAATGAAGGACCCCTTCTTCAGGCATGTGATGCCCAGAGAAGGGGGCCTGCCTGATCTTGAATTGTTGCACTTTTACCACTGTGATGTGATCACTTTAATAAACATTTAGATTTTATTTTGAACATCTATGGTGTGCTGGCAATATATATTCTGACTAAATTGATTTTTCTACAAAATTGTCTTTTAGGGACTATTTTTTTTTTTGTAGTGTGTTAAAATTTACAAAAGCTTGGTGGTTTTAATAACTAAAGTTCAGAAAATATTTTTATTTTTACTGGCAGTAAAATACTGCCTGTGTGGCCATTTCATTGGATGGTGCTTTTATACCCCGCCTTCACTTTCTTTCCGAACTTCCATGTGTCGCTCTAGTGGTACATTTCTGCCATATATATATATATTAAACTGTCTTAAAACTTTGTAGTCATTCAGTAATGCTGCTGATGATTATAATTTCCACAAATCTCTCACTTTTATACTGCAAAGTACACTATATACAACACTTCACAGATCTCAATGTACTATCTGTGATCCCATGTACATGTAGCAAGTAAATGAATAAACCTGCCAGTAATGCTATTACTACGCTGTAGCTAGAGGGAGCTCTAATGATTTGTAGTGTGACTTCAGGAGACTAACAACCAACCAGCTTACAGTCAACTAGGAATGAATGGGTGAGCAACATGTGTTTTCTGTTCTCCTCTTGATACAGGTTAGTCACGCTTGGTTTATGCTATGTTTAGTTTCGTGTTTGTTCTGACATTCACTTTCTCTGTTTTGTATTCTGTACGTTAGTAATGATAACTCTCTTACACAAATTGATACACTTTTCCATGTGGCCTGCGTTGCCACTATAAAGAAAGTAATTATCTGTATAATGTAATCCACTTCTGTTTAAAACATTAAACTTGGAATGAGCACATGAGCAACGTGTTTTCTGTTCTTTTGATACAGATACTGCAGGCTGCATCTTTGCCATACCTCACACTCAGATAACCAATAATCCTGTAATATTTACTCTACACAGCTCGCGGCTGACATGTGCGGCGACGGAGCGGGGATGTCTGGGAAGGCGCGCAGACAAGGCGCGCTGACCCATAATGCATTCCTCAACGACATGTGATCGCATCAGCCAATCAGCAGCCAGCCAGCTAGCACTGTGTAATGGTCGAGCTATAAATAGCGGCCATTTTGGAATTCTTCATTTGCCTGCAGTCATTGAACAGAGGCAGACCGCTCTGTATTAGGGACAGGGACAGAGTTAGGGCCACAGAAACGATACTTGGGGACAGAGAAACGATACTTAGGGACAGAGAACTATTACTCAGGGACACAGAATTGTTAATTAGGGCCACAGAATCGTTACTTAGGGACAAAGAAACGCTAGTTAGGGCCACAGAATTCATACTCAGGGACAGACAGAATTGTTACTGAGTGCCAGAGAATTGTTACTTAGGGCCACAGAAACGTTATTAGGGCCACAGAATTGTTACTCAGGGACAGACAGAATTGTTACTGAGTGCCAGAGAATTGTTACTTAGGGCCACAGAAACGTTATTAGGGCCACAGAATTGTTACTCAGGGACAGACAGAATTGTTACTGAGTGCCAGAGAATTGTTACTTAGGGCCACAGAAACTTTAGTTAGGGCCACAGAATTGTTACTCAGGGACAGACAGAATTGTTACTGACAGAATTGTTACTGAGGGCCACAGAACTGTTACTTAGGGCCACAGAATTGTTACTCGCACAGACACAGAATTGTTACTCGCAGGGACACAGAATTGTTACTGAGGGCCACAGAACTGTTACTTAGGGCCACAGAATTGTTACTCGCACAGACACAGAATTGTTACACAGGGACACAGAACTGTTACTGAGGGCCACAGAACTGTTACTTAGGGCCACAGAATTGTTACTCGCACAGACACAGAATTGTTACTCAGGGACACAGACACTGAGGGCCACAGAATTGTTACTAGGGCACAGAATTGTTACACAGAATTGTTACTCGCACAGACACAGAATTGTTACTGAGGGCCACAGAACTGTTAGTTAGGGCCACAGAATTGTTACTCGCACAGACACAGAATTGTTACTCGCACAGACACAGAATTGTTACTGAGGGCCACAGAACTGTTACTTGGGGCCACAGAAACGTTAATCAGGGACACAGAATTGTTACTGAGGGCCACAGAACTGTTACTTAGGGCCACAGAAATTGTTACTCGCACAGACACAGAATTGTTACACAGGGACACAGAACTGTTACTGAGGGCCACAGAACTGTTACTTAGGGCCACAGAATTGTTACTCGCACAGACACAGAATTGTTACTCACGCTGTTACTGAGGCACAGAAGACACAGAATTGTTACTCGCACAGACACAGAATTGTTTCGCACGGACACAGAATTGTTACTCGCACAGACACAGAATTGTTACTCAGGGACACAGAACTGTTACTGAGGGCCACAGAACTGTTACTTAGGGCCACAGAAATTGTTACTCGCACAGACACAGAATTGTTACTCGCACAGACACAGAATTGTTACTCAGGACACAGAACTGTTACTAGGGCCACAGAACTGTTACTTAGGGCCACAGAATTGTTACTCGCACAGACACAGAATTGTTACTCGCACAGACACAGAATTGTTACTGAGGGCCACAGAACTGTTACTTCGGGGCCACAGAATTGTTACTCAGGGACACAGAATTGTTACTGAGGGCCACAGAACTGTTACTGAGGGCCACAGAACTGTTTAGGGCCACAGAATTGTTACTCGCACACAGACACAGAATTGTTACTCGCACTCGCACAGACACAGAATTGTTACTGAGGGCCACAGAACTGTTACTTGGGGCCACAGAAACGTTAATCAGGGACACAGAATTGTTACTGAGGGCCACAGAACTGTTACTTAGGGCCACAGAATTGTTACTCGGGCCACAGAATTGTTGTTACTCGCACAGACACAGAATTGTTACTGAGGGCACAGACACAGAAAAGGGACACTGAGGGCCACAGAACTGTTACTTACACAGAATTGTTACTCGCACAGACACAGAATTGTTACTCGCACAGACACAGAATTGTTACACAGGGCCACAGAATTGTTTACTAGGGCCACAGAATTGTTTGTTACTCGCACAGGGCCACAGAATTGTTACTGAGGGCCACAGAACTGTTACTGTTAGGGCCACAGAATTGTTACTCGCACAGACACAGAATTGTTACACGCACAGACACAGAATTTGTTACTCAGGGACACAGAATTGTTACTGAGGGCCACAGAACTGTTACTTAGGGCCACAGAATTGTTACTCGCACAGACACAGAATTGTTACACAGGGACACAGAACTGTTACTTGAGGGCCACAGAACTGTTTACTTAGGGCCACAGAATTGTTGTTCGCACAGACACAGAATTGTTTACTCGCACAGACACAGAATTGTTACTTAGGGACACAGACACAGACAGGGGCCACAGAAATTGTTACTGAGGGCACACAGAATTGTTACAGGGACACAGAATTGTTACTGAGGGCCACAG